AAAGGAAAGAAAGGAAAGAAAGGAAGGAAGGAAAGAAAGGAAAGAAAGGAAAGACAGGAAGGAAAGGAAGGAAAGCAGGAAAGAAAAGAAAGAAAGGAAAGACAGAAAGGAAAGAAAGGAAAGAAAGGAAAGAAAAGGAAAGAAAGGAAAGAAAAGGAAAGAAAGGAAAGAAAGGAAAGAAAGGAAGGAAGGAAAGAAAAGAAAGAAAAGGACAGACAGGAAAGAAAGGAAAGACAGGAAGGAAAGGAAGGAAAGAAGGAAAGAAAAGAAAGAAAGGAAAGACAGAAAGGAAAGAACGGAAAGAAAGGAAAGAAAGGAAAGAAAAGGAAAGAAAGGAAAGAAAAGGAAAGAAAGGAAAGAAAGGAAAGAAAGGAAGGAAGGAAAGAAAGGAAAGAAAAGGAAAGAAAGGAAAGAAAGGAAGGAAGGAAAGAAATGCAAGAAAAGGAAAGAAAGGAAAGGAAAGAAAGACGGACAGGCAGAGGAGAGACAGAGAGACAGAGAGAGAGAGAGAGAGAGAGAGAGAGAAGGAAAGAAAAGAGTTGCGCCAGTACCTTGCACATATTCGTGAAAATAGCGACCCACACAGTCAGATAAGGGAATGAACTCGCCCGCCCGGTGTGTCACCGGTGAAACCGAGAGATCCTGAAGGGTTCACAGGGCCACCGCAGCCGAAAGGGTGCACGCCAAGGAAGCTCCCTGTGTCTCCCCCGTTAAGGCGGGAATAGCCACAGAGACAGGGGGAGAGGAGAAAAAGTAGAAAAAGTAGGTAGTTAATTTGTAATTCTTAGTTATTTGACTGGTCATACTCCTTCAGTTCCTTTCTTTCGTTGATGTTTGGAGTCTGTGTGAAGGAACCTTCGAAACAAATAATCAATAAAATCCTTCCAATTTGTATCCTTTTGTTATTTGGCTGGGCGACTGCAGCGGAAACACCAGACACAAATTTTAGCAACGCAGATTCCACACCGAGGAAGTTTGAGCCAATTAGATGGCGCATCGTGGAGCAACCAACCACAATTTTTTGCCAAGTAGATGGCCCATCATTTTTGGCACTGACAAGTCCTGCCGCCACAATAGCAATATTTTTTTGTGGCCTGGAATTTATTTTTGGGTGGGTAGATGCGCCACTTATTTTTAAAGAGTGTAGTATCTACTAGCTTCTTGTTACTACTAGTAAGGCCCTTGTTCCTAGTAGCGATGCACTTGTTCCTAGTAGCTCAAGTTGTGTATTTTGAGGCTAATGCCCTTTTCAATACCATTTGATTGGCCTACACGTCTGTGTGCTTTTTTCTGCGAACCCTGATACGAAGCTCGGTGTGCAGTGATGTTTGGGTCGCGAGCCAATCCCCTCACTTTTTGTGCTTCCCCACATTGAAGGAAGGGGAGGAGAAACAGACACCAATTTGAGCAAACCAGGGGGTCACCGGTGTTCGTCTGGATACGAAATGCCCGCCAGTGGAGAAGAGTGTTCACGATAAAGCTCTCAAAAGCATCCTCAAGACTAATGTCAGTGTTTCCGTTTCGGCGGCATCAGCGTCAGTCAAGAAGGCACACCTTCTTTCAACCCTGAGATCAATGTGTGCCTTTCCTTGACTGCTTTCATCAAGGAGTCCATGACAATGTTGTGATACCGACACTGCTGTGAAGCTGGATGACAATGTTGTGAAGCTGACAACACAATTCATCATTGGTGACTGCGTAAATAAACCAAAAAGTTATATATATATATATACACATACACACTGCAACTAGAGATACAGAGGTGCTTCTTTTGCATACGGGTTTCACCTGAATTCATCTACCTTGCGGGGAGGATTCAAAGCCAGTCAAAGTCTAAAGGCCTCCAACCTAATAGCAATGGCCTCCAACCTAATAGCAATGGCCTCCAACCCACTAGCGATGGCCTCCAACCTACTAGCG